GGCTTTCTGTTTGATCCAATAAATGTTCAAGAAGGTGCAAATGGACACTTTACTGTGCAGCTAACCTCTTGCAGTAAGTATACAGAGCGCTACTAGATTCCCAAACCTTTTGACTTATTTTGTGAATTATTTGAATGTCGAGGCCAATAATCTATAGGTAAAAAAACTGGGGTCAAACAGTAACATTCTTTTGATAGATATAGAAAAAATTCAATTTGCACTTTAGACGTCATAGCGTTCGAGCTTCTTGACTAACACTTTTCTCGTATTTATCTTAAAATGTTCCTCTTCAAAGTAATAGCATTAAGATGGATTGAGTATTGGAAAAGATCATTGAAAGATAGATCAAGCTCTCACTTTCATTAATCTTCGTAATCAGTCATATTTGCTTCTTGAGATCGTGAGTACCTCGCCGGTTCAAATCATAACTTGACAGCAGAAGCGAGTCGTGAGAAATAGGCCGACTCAAAATCTCAAAATCTACTTAAAAACAGCCCGGTAGAATGTTTGCAAAGTTCATTACTCACCGTTATATGCTTCACGCGTAAAGGGGAAGTTGGTCTTTAGGATTGGTAGATGGTTTTTCGAACTACGATGTGAGGTAATGGTCTGCTTAGAGTTTCAAGATTAGGTGTAGTGATCAGCGTGAAATACGATGAAGGATTGATGACAAAATCCAGGAATCATGATACCAGTGATGGGATTGTGCGCGGCTTTTGTCGGCTTCGGAACGGCATCTTCGTCGAGAATTTCCGATCGAAATGCGCGCGATAAGAAATCACTTCGTTAGCGCATTAAAGTAAATCCCTCTCGAGTTCAATTGATAATTCCTCTTCCAACAGGATTGAGCAACAAACTTCATTGATTCTTAACGCTTCTGATGTTTAGCTTGAACAACGTACGTCTTTATTTTCCAATGAAATTCTAGAAGAGATTTTAACCTTGTATAACAAATATACAGTACCGAATAACGGATAGAAATCATGCTGAGAACAATAAGAAAAGAGTCGATCAGCTCTCACGTTTGCCACCATATCAAATGTTGGCTCGTTTTTGGACAGCATAAATGTAACTGTAGTACTCATTTAAAGCACAAAACATCGGCTATTATGTATGAAAAAAATCAAATTCTAGTTGTAAGAAGCTCAAAAGCGCGCCTGCTATAGACCCCTTGCACTGAGTCTCGAGAGGATTTATTCTGGAAGACAAAACAATGAATTTTTTTCCTTTTTTTTTTTTTTTTTTTTTGTATAAGAAAAGACGGCCTATTGTTTTGTCCCTCAGAACAATCCCTCTCGGGACTCAGTGCAAGGGGTCTATATCTATCTGTGGACCTATTTACTTCTGGAGTAATGTTTTCCATTTCAGACCACGTGTCATTCTCTTGAGAAAAAGCTTCTTTGTTTGAGTTGTATCTATGTTTATGTGTCTTCACATGCGGAACCGCTTAAGAAAGAAAATATACTCAAGGGAATGACACGAGGTATGAAATAGGAAAACATTACGCCCAACCTAAAAAGGCCTGTGTCGTTGAAGTTCGGCTGCATGACCTGAATGCAGCTTATTATTATTTATTTATGTTTTTCGTTTATTTTTGAATTCAAAACTCAGAGATCTGTCATCAAAGATCAAAAGGTCTTTAAATTCACCATCTTCTACAATGTTGCACCACGTGCAGGTTTTAGGAACGTTTGGGAATGTGTCGCAACTGCATTACTTGCTGTGGACAACAACTGAGAACCCCTCTAACAAGATTAACGACCACGGTGTATTTGACGGACCTCTGCTGGGACTACATCGATGTATAACCTTATATTCACGAAAACAAACTGTACTAACTGTATTTCCTGTTTTCGATTCGAATATTTTTTGTGCAAATGAAGGCATTTTTTAAGAAAGATAATAACGTTTTTGATTTTGCATCCAGTTATGTGTGAAGTCAGTGATAAAATTGTTTTTGGAGATAAATATTTGCTTGCATGATCGGAAGAAGAACTTAACCAAGCTTGGTTCAGTTATCACGCAGATGCAAAGAGAAGCGCCCTAACCACAAAACAGCTGCACTGCACTCGAACGAACGAACCCTGTTCATTTGCTGCTAAAAGATGAATAAACTTATATTAACGGTCATGTATCATGCGGTGTGTTACATAACCAAGCTTGTGCATGATAGTGTTAGGTTGACGTACTGTGAGCTTAGGGAACGGTCTTAAATAACCAATTTAAAAAAAAACGTTTGTTTAGTCAACTTGGGTGGGGTGGGGATCAGTTAAATATTGACACGATTCAAGGAGGTATCACTCAGTAGCAACCACTAATAAAAAAAAAAGTTTGCTTCTGGGGCGGAGGGGTTCGAAGGATTTAGACGGGGGGAAACATGCCGTTTTTAGACAACTGGGGTGTCAGTTAAATATTGACATGCAACCATGAACCATGCAAGGAAGGTCGCTTAAAAACAGCCAGTAATACTGAGGGATCATAACAAATTGAAGATCGGGTTTTTTTTGTTTTTTTTTTGAGGGGGGTTGAGAGAAATGAGAGAGAGAGAGAGAGAGAGAGAAATGGTGAATGTTGCATGTTGCATTCCACGCCCGAACTGCACTATGGGCGACGTGAACTCCATAAACGAAAGGTCACAATCATATGAAATTTCCACGAACTTTGTCCACACTTTTTTTACGTATATTTTCTTTTGTGCTGACGATATAAAATCGAAGTTTCCGTTTCTTTAAATAGCCTGCGAAGTATTTTAATATATACTCCAAAAGAAAAACAACAATATTTTCACTGTACTTGAGATATAAAGCCATCTCAAGTACAGTGAAAATATTGATTTTTTTTGTTTTTTTTTGTTTTTTGTTTTTTGTTGTTTTGTTTTTTTTGAGTATATATTAAAATACTACGCAGGCTATTTAAAAAAGAAACAGAAACTTCGATTTTATCGAACTCTGGATCAACTTCTGCGGCGGGCTAGGCCTGATCAAATTCAGTACAAATCGACAAAGTTCTTTGTAGAAAAAAAAAAAAAAAAAAATTACATTGAGGAAAATAATTATTTTGCTTTTGTATTTTCTTATTAACCTCTCATCCATTTTGTATTTCCTAATTATAAAGCTCTTATATAAAAGCTTGGGCGTAATTTTCATTCTCTTTTAAGACCATGTGTGTGATTGAACGGAAATTCGGCATCGTGTTCAGAGAGGGAGACAAAATGAAGAACTGAAAAAAACTGAAAACCAGAAATTAAAACTGTCTATGAAGAAGCATAGTCGGCAGATTCATCAGTATAAATAAACTAACGTTGCAGTGGTAAAGTAACTCGTGATGGTCAAGTGGAAATCCATCAGTTGGAATCAACTTTAAAAGGCGTAATTGAACTCCAAGTGAAGATTGTTGTTGAACCTTCTGCCCTCGATTGTTCCAAGCACGTTTTTCATAGTCTTCACTGTGACTCGTTTTTATGGTCGTAGAGAAGTCATTTTAAAATTACGGTCGAGTAGAAAACGATGCCGCAACTGTATGTTTCCCAATCATATACGATAACCTGGCATTCTTATGGGAAGCCATTTCAATGTTCCTGCATGTAGCGCATGTAGTACCGTGTAAGTGTTGCAAGTCAGTACTGCATACGTTTCCCACTCAGACAATATTCATTGTTATGGGAAGCAATTTCAATCTTACAGCATGATGTCATACCGTGTACGTGTTGTAAGTCTCAATGCCCGGTTGTACGAAGCCTGAATAACGCTATCGGGCGGATAAATCATTATCCAGTGGATAAGTCGATGCTGTTATCCAATAACTTTATCCACTGGATAAGATTTATTCGACGCATAACGCTATCCAGACTTCGTACAACCGGGCCCAGTACTGTACGTTTCCCACTCATACGAAAATCATTCTTATGGGAAGCCATTTGAATAGTACGGCATGTAGTACGTACTTGCTGGAAGGAAGAATAGTAGTATGTTTCTCACCCATACGATATCCATTCTTATGGGAAACCATTTCAATGCTACTTAATGTCGTACCGTGTACGTGCTTTAAGTCAGTACCATACGTTTCCCATTTGTACAAAAACGTCTCAAATACATTTAATCCTATATGATTAAAGCAAAGAATATATACAACCATAAACCACTTCATTTTTTGCCGTTCCAAAACGAAAGATTCGGAATTTTCATGAAGCACCAAAACTGTGTCAGTAATGGTTATTATAGGGTGCCCATGATTAATGCCTTCCTGCCTTCCCAAAATTACTCTAGCTTTACTGGTATATGATCTCTATATACATTTACGCATGGTAACAGTCTCAATCATTTTCTCTCTACAAATATACATGTCCGCACAGAACTACACTAGTCAGTCATAAAGCATGGTTAATATCTAAATCCAATTATCACCTCCAATCTAAAAGCAATATTTTCAGGTATCGAAATAACTAGTTAAAGATGAATATACATCTTGAGACAAAGGAAACTAAAGCAAAATAGGAAATCGTTTGTTGAATTTTCTCCGCCCTCAGAACAATGCAATTAAGTAAACTATTGATGACCGACTCCCAGACGACAATCACCGAAGTTTAAGCACAAATTTCGACGTTTTGAACGCAATGGTAAAAGGTTTTTGACAGTGGAGAACATTTTGTTTGACGTCTAAAAAAAAAAAAGATACAGTTGTATTTTGTAGGACATCATTATTGGATTATTGTGTCGAAATGGTTTCAATTTGTAGACAACTTGTGACGTTTTACTTTCAGAAGGAATTCAAAGTTTGAAAAGCAAATTTACTTTTCCGTCTACCAAATGAAAGAGTGGTTTAGTGTAAGTCTATTCTCTTCGAGTCTAATCATTCTTGTAGCATTTGCAGTAGGCGAATTGAAGATCATTTTAAAGCAGAACTGGAATTAATCTAAAACAAATAGTTTCGCTGAGGTTTTTGTTTTGTTAACAAAGGTTCAAGAAGGTTTATCAAGTTTTTCAATCGTCATCCAATCTTATCTTTTTGCGTGGTCCAGCTATTTGAAGTTGTTGAAGACTTCTTATATCGTTGACGCACTATATTCTGCTTGCTTCGGGGTTACACTAACAAATATGTTATCACGTATACCTTCATGATGCGTGAGAATTGCGCTACGCTATAACAAACCTTAGTTTGAAAAATGTATATATCACCATTAAACATTGCTTTGCAGTTTGAGCGTGCATAAACTTGGAATAAAGTTAACAGGATTTATAGCAGAAGAAACATAATTTTAGAAATGTAAGTTGTTGTACACTCACCAATACTTCAAGCTTTATTCCTTGGAGAAGAGACGAGTATGGACGACGGTACAGCAGCAGAAGCTCAATAGGGATCTCTTCAGAACTCCCTTGTGACAAAGTTTGAGGCCCTTCCTGCGAGAATTCACTTTTTACCTCAGTTGTCCGCCCAGGAGCTTATAGTGATTACCTTAATGAGAGCAGTGCCAATCGATATGAAGCGAAAGAATATCTTTGTCAGATGGGATAGATTACAATGCCAACACCAAATTACATTCATTTTTTGTAAGGTGCGGAAAGAGGAAACGGTAATAACCATTGCATAGGCGTAGAAACTGTTTCTTTTCGATAAAAATAATGGTACAAAATCAGCTTTAAAAATTCCAATAAAGCAAACTTTTCAAGGATTTTTTGTCTCCTTCGTATAGAATTGTTTCTAGGTGCTATCGCGATCCATAATTGCCACGCCCATGAGCAGATTGGAAACTAAAGATCCATGAAGATTTCATGATGTTCGTTGCAAGGGAGCGTCTTAAAACTCAATCAAAGTAAATTCGTCTTAAGTTCACGAGAAAAACTCCTGTTGAGCGAGACAAAGTAATGAACCCCGCACCCAAATGTGCCTCTCTTCCTATACACCGGAAATATTTAAGGATATTCAAAAGCGATCCTAGTAGGGCGTCTCTTTAATCGATTTTGCTCTATCTGGTCAAGAGCATTTTTCTTTGTAGTCTTCATCCACGATTATATTTTTACCCCTCGGTTGTCTTCAAAATTCATTTTCTAGGCTTGGTTTTGACGTTATTTTTGGTCGTTTCCGGTGTGGATTTTGTTTTGGCTGTTGCTTTTCACCGTCCCATACCTCAGACGTAGTTAACAATCTTCACTTTACACTTGTTACCGGCTAATTTTTTTCTGTAGACCACTGGTTCTTTTTAGAAATCTCAGACAAAGCAGTCACTTTTTTCTTCGTTTCTGCACTGTATTGCCAGTGCAACAAGTTGAGTCGAACATCCAAGGTCTCTTAATCTTCTGAATCTGCTTGACCTTGGTTAATTCATAGCAGGGGAGAAGCTATCATTGATTGTTTGGACCAACATAATAGCTATCTAGCATGGAAATAAAAACAAGATTTTGAAGAACCTTAAAGACAGTTACATCAATAAAGCACTACGTCTGAATCGACACTGAGCTCAGCAACTGCGACAGATTTATGCCACAATACAAATTAACAGCAAAGAAGGAGTACATCTGCGAAGAAAATCAAAATTCTGCCTAAACGATTTTACTTGGGAAAGAGCTTAGTATATCTATTGCCTCAGGGATTAGTCAAAGGTGATTAGAATCTATGAATTTAATCAAATAAGCTGGGAATTTCTCAACGGTGTGTCATCACTAGGCTATAGCTAGCTAGAAACCAGTCCCTTCTGTAAACAACTGGGCAGAATTTTGCCCTCAAAATGATTTTATCCCAGATAATGATTGAGGGCTGACGTTGACAATGTATTTCTATCAAATCTGATATTCCTGTGCATAGTGGCAGAGGGTTGGGGGCCGGGGGTTGCACTAGATCATTTGATATTATCCGATACACTAAAATAACCTGGGTTGTTAACTCGTCGCTGAGTCTATATCGAAGCAAGACGGTCTTGCTTCAGCATATAAACTGATGGTTCAACATACCAGGACTGATGATACTGGGCATATATATCTTTTCCTCTCTTCCTCACTCCTGCTGTGTGCTGAAACAAGTAGGCACAACCCACTTCCCCTTCCCCTAAAAATATCTTATCTTATCTTCCACCCCCACCCCCACCCCCAACCCACACCCACACTGTTTAATTTCATTTATCAGTTTATATTAATATCTTAATGGATCCTATTGAGTCATGTGGTTGCACCCTAAGAATATTGATACTACAGGAAGATAAACTAGACTGATTACATATTTTCGTCTAGCAATTTTTCTCTAAATTGGGCTACCTGTGGAGAAACTCATCATTGCTAGCTTTTACTTTCATATCCTAAACAGAGGATGAGAGAGAGAGGGTATAACAAACTGAATACTTTTTGGGGACGGTGGGGAATAGATCTACGGATTTGCGGATTTCGCAAATATTTTAGTCCGGATTACGGGTTACGAGTTAATTTTAACGGAATTGACTGGATCTTGCAAATGCAGCAGATTTCGGATTTATCCATTTTTTTGTCCGGATTTATCCTTTTTTTTGTTGTTGTTGTTGCCCGAATTCGGTTTTTGCTGGTTTTAGAATTCGGATCGTGGATTTCTAGGCTCTTAGAAACCACTTCAGAAATGATATTTTAACGGTCGAATTATTTGCAAATTTGAATTTGAACATTTTTCCCCCCTTTGTTTCGCGGATCGACGGATTCGTACATTAATTTAAACGTATCGTAGGCCTTGAATACCCTTTTCACCCCCTCTCCCCCTGACTCCACCCATTAACTTTTTGACGAATTTGGGTTCCCTGTGGGGTGTTTCCCACGCTTCCTGACCGTGAGTTTATCTTAGACATATTATTTAAAAATGGCGGACGATAATTTTTAAACCAATTTGTATGATTTTTAAGCTATGAATACCTCTAAAAGACGGCCATTTAAGGTCTATAATTCCCAACGTAGTAAACGAAAAGGAGTCGTTGCTGAAAATCTTGGAGAATTGAAAGAAAAAGGCTGTCAATCACTTGGCTTGACTGCCTCTTCTTGTCGGGTGTTTATCGATAGCGATGGCACTGAAATAGAAGACGACGAGTACTTTAGTTTTATAGAAGAACAAAGTGTACTGATGTTAGTAGAAGATGGAGAGGATTGGAGTTCGTTTGAAGATGGTAAATAGAAAAGAGTGATAGGATTACACAGGAAGCCCATTTTTTTAATCTTGGGCATACTTTTCAATGTCCAACCACGTATCATACCCTAGAGTATTATTTCTTTGATGGTTGTAAATGAACAGATACATAAATATGGTACAATTCAAGCAAAGAATCTTTTTCTAAAGAGAATGGCATGTGTAAATAGGAAAATGTTATACCCAAGAAAAAGAGGTCTGTTGGGATGTGCATTACACCAGGCTGTACTTGCTGTTTGGGCCATCGATATATTTCTATAGTCACACATGCACAGCCAGAAAAGCTAAGTAACAGCGATGTTGGCTGGGTCTGAAAGAAATGAAGAAATAAATTAATTTTGAAATCAAAAATAAGAAAATAATCAATAACTTAATATGCACAAATTAATGGGACAGAAAATGTTGATAAACAGTTTTACTAGTTTACATTGCAGGTATTTCTTGTTGAAATGCCATACAGGTCTTTTTTTTTTGGCCACGAATTGGAGAATATTTTTTACCCATTTTTATAATTAATTTCATGACCTGGACCAGCTTTCTCTTGAGACATAGAAGTTTTTTTATGCGAATCAAGTTTGCAATGCACTAAGCTAGTATAATAATAATGCTTGATTCATGGCAGCCAAAAAACCCCGACATATTTGGCTGTTGGCCACATAATTATAAAGATAATGATCAATGTTTTTTGTTATTGTAGCATTACTACCCCAGGCTGGTACGAGAACATATTCCTCTTTCAACCCAAGCCTGGAAAGCAACGAGAGTCTAGAAATGGACCACGCAGATGCATTGGTACCAATTTCTGAATTCCTGGTGCAACAAATAAGGAAGAATGCAATGTTTTTTGTTTCTTTCTCTGATGAACAGTTACAAACTGTCATAGATTGCGACTTGGCATATTTGGCGATGGTTCTTGGGGCTCAAGCTAAAGAGGTTCAACACTATAAAGAAACATGTCAGAGAGAGCTTGATAAGCGTGCGGAGATGCGTGAAGCTGGTGAATTGCTCAAACTTTATGATAAAGGTGTTAGGCAGAATGCAGCAAGCAGTGCGAGTGAACCAGGTAGCAAGAGGGTTAAAACACACTGACTGAGCTAAAATTGTACATGTATACATCAATCTTGACAGTTTAGTAAATCATGAAATTATAGAGTGCAAACAATTAATCTGTGAAACACGAATTACTAAATTGTACAAAATAGTGCTAATTAAACAATAGAAAACAATGGAATTTGCATGAAATTGTGCTATTTAGTATTACTAAAGTTTCACGGTTATATTGTTTGCACTGGGAGACATCATAAATACAGGATATAACTAGGCTGTGTCGAGGTAATATCTTACAAGTAAGCACAGAGGACACGACGCTATATTCTGAACATGAGAAGACACATATAAAATCTGTCTCTCCAAGCATCCATGTAATTGATGTTTGTTTTTTTTTTACCTTCACGTGTACAAAAAAAGATTATCCATCAATGAAAATCCTGATAATTTGCATCAGATCTGAATGGGCTTTACAACTGCTTGCCATTGTAAATGCCTATTCTCGACTTTCACATCTCCATAATGCCTTGTGTTTTTGGGGGGTAACCAATCAAAAAACTGTCCCAAATTGAAAGGTTTCTTAATTGAATTTACACTATACCTGCTTTTATCTGTACAATACTGATTATCAGTTTATTCCAAGTTATTTTTGCGTGTACAGATCATCAAGAGTTTTGGTCTTACAGAAAATGTATTGACTTACGAAAAAATGTTTAAAATTTACCTTAAACGTATTCAAGCTTCTGTCTTTTTCTGTTTTTTACTTCTTCATTTTATCTTTGGATACCAAACAAGGTATTTTCAACATTGTCTGATCAGCCTTCAGCAAAATAAGTGGGTTTTTACCCTCTGGTTACCCCCCAAAAATGCAAAGGATTATGGGGATGTGAAAGTAGAGAATACAGATTGGCTGCTTACGCTGTCAACAGTGTATACCTATTTTAAAAATACATTGTAGGTCCGATATCTGAAATAGGCAATCTGAGACTAAAACGAAATGTGCTTTTAGTTTCGTACTGTAGCTAAAATACGTAAAATCATATTGCTAACTCAAAGTGCATGCCTCATATTCCAATCTGAAAGTGAACTATGTTGTTGGACTGTGAAATGTTATAACTTTAAGCGTGTTAATTGCAGGGGCGGATCCAGGATTTTGTTCAGGGAGGGGTACAGCGCACATAGTTAACCCAGGGAGGGGTGCACCCCTTAGAATCAAAGGGAAAAAACATTATTTTGTATTGGTTAAATCTTTGAAGTAGGGGCACAAAGTCAAACCAGGGAGGGGTGCATGCCCCCTGCACCCCTACCCTGGATCCGCCACTGAATTGGCCTCAGATTTCAGATCTCCAACTAACAAAGCTTTTCTTAAAATAGGTATATATTAATTCTAACTTTTTATTAATAATCCAATTACAGTCATCAAAGAATACAGCCTATACAATATCTAACCGTAATACAGAATATAATCGTTAGCTATATGACTGATGATTACATTACCAGAACTAACCAATAAAGCAAAATATACAATGGATAATCAATATTTATTTTAACATTAAGGATTACAAGGCCACACAAAGCAGCTATATAACAAGTAAACAAAAATCAGGGATAAAAAATAACAACCATTTCATCAGAAAATGCCTGGCCAAAATGGACTACTTTGACAATACTGCAGCCAGCTTGCCAGGGGGCAAGTATTCCGTCCAAAGAGTTCTGCCTCTGTGTCTTTCTTTAATGGGTAGAGGTGATGGATGTGCTGTCTTAATTGAACTTTCGTTGTACCTCACTTGTAGTGAGCTGTTAATAAAACGTCATTACTGTAACAAAGCTTTATTTGCCCCCTGGTTACCCCATGATGCCTTATGATCCAAGATGGCTGCTGTATAGTCAAAGCAGTCCATTTGCAGTTGTCTCTTAGGCCAGGTACTCTTAACTGGTCCTATGTTGGTCAGTCTGATTTGGCTAGTTATCATGCCCAGCTGTTATTTTTATCTCTAATAAGGGTTTAGTAGCCATCTACACCTAGTTCTTTGTCTCTTGACGATGCAGCCAAGATGGCGTCCAAGTCAATTGGTTCTGGTGGGTACTTCTTCTTTCTCTTCATCTCCAAACTGAGAGGGGCATTAAGGATCATAGACTGCATTGTTTTTCTCCTTTTTCTGGTGTTTGCTTCCCTTCAAGGTGACATGTATGATGTAGGACATTTGCCTCTTGGACTGTTAACAGTTCTTTTTCACCTACAAGCCTTAGTCAAAACTGGGTCTCTTTCACTATCTTAGGTTTACAGAGAATGGAGGGTGGATAGCGCTATCCGACAGATACAGCTGTATATCCTAATCCAGTGGATGAATCTATGCTGTTATCCAATGAATTTATCCACTGGATAAGATTTATCTGTCGCATAGTGCTATCCACCCTTCATACAACCGGGCCCTGGTTTCATGATAAACAGCCCTACAAAGTTCAATGTTAGCATCAATAGATCTCTTTAGCTTGGGTTGGGTATGAAGTTGTCCCATTTCAGACCAGGTGTCATTCCCTTGAGTAT